GATTTAATATTTAATTTTTTTCCCCAAAAAAAACTAAATATAAAAATATTTCAAATGATAAACACTTTTGTTTGCTTTTCCTGTTTTTTCAAATTTAAAAGACAGAATATTTTTCATAATAAATTATCCAAAAAAAAAAATTTCCAAAAAAATAACATAATAAATAAATCAAATATATTAAATAACATATAAATACACAATATATATTTACTGTATATATTAAATATATACTGTATATACAGTATATAATGTATATATTTTTTTTTAAAATATCAAAAAACTCTCGTATAGTTTTTCACAAATAATAAAAAAATAAATAATATATTTATTTATTTTGTTTTATTGGGATCACTGACCTGTCATTTATAAATAAATTTATAACATTATAAATACCTGTTAATATGTGTAGTGTGTGTGTGTGTGTGTGTGTGTGTGTGTGTAAACTACTGTGTAAACACACGGACTTTTAAAATTATATACATTTTTTAATATATATATATATATCATAGTTATATAATATATAAACTGTACTGTATATATTAGTAGACAAAATGATTATCTGTTTAAATAAATATCTGTGTTATGTGTGTCTGTCTGTCTAATAACTGTCTATATATTATATATATATGTGAGAAAAAAAAATAATAATAGTATATATATATATATATAATCAGGGTTAAGCAAGGTTTTGGATTTTAGGGGGGGGGGGTAGACCGGGGTAAAATTTGCAAAATTCTCGAAAAATCTTGGGGGGGGGGGGGGGGGTATTGGGTGGGGTAAGATTTTTATTGCATTTTTAAAATGCAATTTTTTCAAAAATCCAAAATCAAGGGGGGGGTCCAGAGAAAATTCCCTAATATTCCCTTAAATTCCCGAATATTCCCATGTAAATTAAGGAAAATTCCCATAAGTTCCCGTATAAATTCCCAGGAAAATAGGTAAAATTTCCAAAAATATTAAAAAAATTAAAAATTAATAAAAAACTTAATAAAAACTTAAATTTTAACAAAAAATAAATAATTTTTTAAAAAAATTTTAAAAATTAATAAAAACTTAAATTTTAACGAATAATAAAATAACTGTGTATTTTAGATTAAAATAGTTGATAAAAGTATTAATGAGTTTTTTTAGTATTTTAGTAATTTTTAAATTTTAAAATAATTAATTTTTTAAATAATATTTAATGTTTATAGTTATAGGTATATGTTATTTTTATACAAATACTGACTGAATACTAATTACTTAACTCAATTTTCGTTAAAGTTTTATCTATATTAATTATAAAATTGAAAATATTTTCAAAATTCTTATATAAAATTTTAAAAATTATCAATAAAAACTTTATAATATATGTATTTATTGTTTTATTAACTTCTTAAACTATCTCAAACTTCTATTTATAATGTAATATGATTATTCTTTTCAACAAATATGTAATTTTTAATTTTTTAGTTTAATATTTTAATTAAAATTATGTTTTTTGATGAGTTTTAACGTTATTTTAACTTTTTTACTTATTTATAATCAATAATTAGATTTATATAAATTTTAAAAACAAAAACACATACTAAAATAGTTTTAATTAAAATTTTTAAAAACTTAAAAAAAATTTCGGCGCCTSCGGCGCCGAAATTTTAGGGGGGGGTCATTTCTCCTCGTTTTTAAGCGACAATTTTTTCAATTTGGTCAAAAAGTCTGGGGGGGTAAAATCCCAAATTCTCGATCTTAGGGGGGGGGTATTTTGGCCTTACCCCCCCTACCCCCCTTACTTAACCCTGATATAATATATAAAGTAAATAAATTATCGACAACAATGTGTTTTTGTTGTAATTTTTTTTTGGTTATTTATTTTTATTTTTTTTTTAATTTTATATTTATTTTTTTTCTGATGTCCTAATTGGTGTAATTAGTGTTTAACATTATCGGGTTGTAGTAGTAGTAGTAATGATAATAATTTCGTAACCATTAATGCATATAATATATATATATATTATGTATATATATACATACATACAGTATAAATACATAATATATAATATACTGTACATGTAATATAGTTTATTTTGTTTTATTGATATTAGTTTACTAAACATTGTATTATATAATATCAAATAGTAATTTACATTTTTTTTATTGAGTTATGTTTTTTATATTATCAATTTTTTTTATATGTTTTATACTGTATATATATATATTTTTTTTATAAGTTTGTTAGTATATATATATAACATATTTAAATTTATTTTTAAAAGGTGTTAACAATATTATCTTAAAATTTACTATTTATTTATTTATTTTGTTTTAAAAAACATTATTAACTATTGAACTATTGAATTTGTAGATATTTGCTATTATTTAACAATTTTTTTAAATATATATAACTAAATAATATTATTTTTAACAATTTTTTTTGGTCAATATAAATAACACTTGACTTTACATTATATATATAAATTGCATATTTGCAATAGTATTAATATTTAGGTGTAATTTTATTTAATATAATAATAATAATAATATAAATAATTGAATATTTACTAAAATAAATAAGTTTTTAAAAAATAAAATAATTTTTGATCCAATGTTCAAACAATGAACAAAATTATTGAAAATAATAATAATAAAAATATTACTTAAAAAGTTTATGTGCCTATTATGCCATTAGTCGGTTAGACAAATATTATTATTTGTAATAATAATAATAATAATAATAATAATAATAATAGCATTATTTATCCTCAAAAAAAAAATTATTATTAAGGCTAATATTTTTAATATTCAATATTTTTTTTAAAAAAAAGATTTATATTATTATTTTCCTAATATTTATTAATTATAATTATATTTTATATATATATTAAACTTGTGTATTATATTAATTAAATTTCAAAACAAAAAATTATCAATAAATAAGAGACTTAAAAAAACGATTGTATTAATAATAAAAAAATATTAAATTTTAAAAATAATTACTAAAATAACACAATTTAATTAATTAGTAAATAAATATTTTTTGAAAAAACAAATTAATTTAGTGTGCGCTGAATAATTGCCTATCAGTGTGTGTGTGTGTGTCTGTATGACTTCCTATTGTAATACAGGTGCTAAATATGCCCTTAAATAATAGGCTATAATCATATATAGCCATCACATCATATAAAATAATGAATCTATGAATGAGAGGGTAAACTATAAAGTGATTCAAAAAAAAAAAAAAAATTAGGGATGAGAGGGATGAGCCCTCAAAAATTGCGGCCAAATATATATATACAGTATTTATATATATAAGTATATAAGCCTTGTATGAAACACTTGTCAGTCATCATCAGCACATCAGACACACAGTCTTTAGGTCAGCACTATTAGGTCACCAGTATGTGTAAGTGCAGCGCTCATGTCTAAGTACAACCTGTATATATACAGGTATATATACAGGTATATATACAGTTAGATAATAATAATAATAATACTGTAATAATATACACGGAGCACAGGTATGTGTGTGTGTATGTGTATGTATGTGTGTATGTATGTGTGTGTGTATGTGTGTGTATGTGTGTGTGTATGTGTGTGTATGTGTGTGTATGTGTGTGTATGTGTGTGTATGTGTGTGTATGTGTGTGTATGTATGTATGTATGTGTGTGTATGTATGTATGTTTGTATGTATGTGTGTGTGTATGTGTGTGTGTGTGTGTGTGTGTGTGTGTGTGTGTGTGTGTGTGTGTGTGTGTGTGTGTGTGTGTGTGTTTGCATTTAGTTGCTTATATCATCCGATTGAGAAAAATATATTTTTTTAAAAAAATCAGATTTTCAATCGGCATTAATATACTGTATATATATAGGTATTATATATATAATATACTGTATATATATATATATATTTACAGACAAGTTTGCCGGTCGGTGGAGATAGTCATGCGTAGCACTGGCTTAGCCTCAATAAGGTATCGACACTAACAACAAACAACTACTACTACTACTATAACATACTAGAGCTGGAAATCCTTTTCCATCAATTAGTCTAACCATTTGTGTGATGCAGACACACATCGATAGCCATATGAGATCTCTCTATCTTTAAATATGTGTTGTGTTATAATAATAATATAATTAACATCTCATTATAATTGTTGTAATTATTAATTATTTTAATATTATTATTATTAGTGTACAACCAATTGTTTAAAACTATTTATTATTTTTTGTCATATACTTGTTTGTCAGTCAATATATAATACAGATATATATTATATTTATTGACTAATTATTTTTAATTATTATTTTGGTGATAATTATCAACAAAAAAAGTTTTTATTTTGTTGGCAAAAAAAACCTAACGGTACATAAAAAAAGTTTTTTTATTTGTAAAAATATATATATATATATGTTGACAGTAAATATTTAAAAATTATTAAACAATTGTTTGTGTGATTATATTGTGTGCAACAAAAGTTTGAACGCTTGAATTAAAAAAAATAAATATAATTTATGTCTATTATAACTATTATATTATTAGTGTAATAAAAATTATGTAAATTTTTTAGACAAAACGTGTTGTGAATTAACTAAAATAACTAATATATCAATATATATATATATATATTATTACATATGGATATTATTATTAAGTTAAAATAATTTAAATAATTAAATTACACACATATATTAAAATTAATAGATTTTTTTGTTAATAATAATAATAATAACCACAAAAAAAATTATGGATCAATTAATCACAACAAGTGATCAGTCAATAGTTAGACAACAATCATCGGCCATTAATTTTAGCGATATTATCGACGATTTAGTCTATCGGTCGACTAAACCGAACCCGAATCGGGAAATATTGGTCGCTTCGAGTAATTGCCAACAAAAAGGATTTAATAATAATAATAATAATAATAATCTATTAAATAATAATAATAATAATAATAATAATCTAATTAATACTAATATACTAAACAATATTCATAATATTAGTAATAACATTAACAATACAATGAGATCATCGCAGTCCAGGCAAAGACATCCGGCACTACTGTTATCGCCGACAAAGACCAGCAGTGATCAGTCAACGACAACACCGACAACAATACCGACAACAACAGCGACCAAACTATCGCAGACAAGACCACAATCGACAACAACAGCCACACTGACAATGCCGACCAACAACAACAACAACGACAAAGCGGTGATCACTACATCATCATCGATGGTAATGATGAGGACTACGGCAGCCGACCGATATTGGACACCACAATATCCCAGTGAATCCGAGTTTGACACAACACGTATAGACAACTATCTGAATGCCCTGAATCTAAGCCGACGACAACAACAACAACAACACAACCACACGGCTGCTGCCCGTACTGTCCGATCATCGGTAAGGCCATCATCGACGACGACGACTACTACGGCTGGCGGTAAACATTGGCGATCGCGATCAGTGGACACTACACTGACCCGACTTAAGACATCCATACATAGGCCGATGTCGTCGCTGTTGAATGCCATCACATTTCCGTCCAATAATAATAATAATAATCATTATTATCGTAGTCGCCAAACAAAATCCATTGTCGGCGGCGGCGGCGGAGGTAAAAATAATGGTCAGCAGCAGTCAATGTCTATTATGCGAAACGTTTTGGTTACCCGATCCGAGTCACTAAACTCTGAGGGTTCATCCTTATCGGGTGAAAGTGTCTGCTGTGACCATCACAGCGGTTCCAGTAGTCATCTTAGTCATCATCATCACCAACAACAACATCATCCGGCAAAGTCTGTCCTCAAGAAGAACCAGACGGCAGCTATTTCCGAGGCCACTGTCGCCGCCGCCGCTACTGCCGCTGCCGCCGCTGCTGCTGCAGCAGCCGTAGCGGCCAAACAACATACCAGTGCTGCTGCCAATGCCATGAATGGTATGCACCATCATATGGGCACTACTGGCAAAAAAAATGTTACATTCAGTGCCTTCGCCACCATTCAGCTTATGGACCGATAATAATCATCATATTATATAATAATAATAATAATAATAATGTGCTTATTATGATAAGCTTTTATGATATATACAGCATATATATATATAATACGATATATATATATTATACTGTTTATATATAATATGATAATTAAATTTAATTTTTTTTTAAAAATTAAATACTAAATACTAACACATATATAGAAAAATAGTGTTATTTTTTTAAAATTATTAGTAATTAAAATACTCCTCCTCTCTCTCTCTCTATTTTTTGTTGTTGTTTTATTTTTAATTATAACTAATTATAATATATTTCTAACTAACTAATTAATTAATTAATTATTATTACTACTAGTACTACAATTTACTGATAATAATTTGTGTCAATTATTATCAGTGCAATAAAAAAATAAATGCAAATTATTGTCAAATTTATTTGTTTAAAAAAACATACTTACCATTTATTAATATATATTTAACATATATATATGATATATAAATGATAAGATATATTTTTTTGTTGAAATAAATATAAATATGATATATATATATATATATATATATATATAAAGATTTAAAATTTAAATAAATTACTTATAAATATTATTATTATGTAAATTAATAAATAAAAAGATTATAAAAAATTTCTCAATAAGACAGACACTATAGTAATATAAATATATTTATATATTATATAATATTATATAATTTTATATAAAGACGTTGTAAATGCTGTAGAATTAATAAATAAATAAAATAATAAATAAATAATAAAAAATTTTTAAATAAATTAACATAAAATGAAGTTTTCTACACTTCCAGCGATTTATTATTATTATTAATATTATTATTATTATTACAAGAATTGGGTTATTAATGAAATTCATAAAATAAAAACATATTTTTTGTTGTTTACCTAAATTTCCTGCATTTTATATAACAACATATATATATATTAATATACTGTATATATTGAAAATATATTGTATATACTATACAAACAGTATATTAAATATATAATACACTTCAAACAAACAGAAAATACCCGTTATTTGAGAGCAATTTAAAAATATATTTATTTTTTTATTTAATGTAATCAATATAGCAATTGGTTTGTATTTGCCTTTTATTTAAACAAAAATAAATAAATAAATAAATGCATAATTTATAATCAATAGTAATACTAATATCAATATATATAAGTTACAGTGTATAGACAGGTAAGTATTAATATTATATTAAAAAAAGTATATCTTCAATAACATTAATAAATATATTTTTGTTTTATTTTTTTTAAAAATTTTATTATTATTATTATTACTTTATATTGTAATATATTCTCAGTGTTGTTGTTGTTGTTTGATTTTAGTTAACATATTTATAGTATTATATAATAATAATTTTATCATAAATATTTTTTTTTGATAATAATTATTATATATATATATATAAGGTATAACTAGTTATTTATAATAATAATAATAATAAGAAACAAAACTATATAATCCCTAAATACAAATATATTATATGTAGGTATCTCTTAAAGTGTATATATAAATATCATATATATATATATATATATTATGTTTATATATTGTATACAATATATAAAAAATAATATATAATGATGTTTAACGGCTATCTCAACCTCAATATTCCCCCCATATATTGAGTGACCCAACAATTTTCATAACCTTAAAAATTCATATCAATTGTATTATTATTATTATCATATTATTATTAGTAGTAATATTATTGTTACGATTTTTCTTGAGAGAGAGAGAGAGAGAGAGAGAGATATTATGTTTTCTTATATTATTTTTTTTGGGAAGAAAAATGTATTTTATTTTCATATATAATATTATTTCTCAGCAAAAAAAATAAAAATAAATATTGTTTATATAAAAATGTTGACAAAAAAACACACATTTTTTTTTACTGATACTAATAATAATAAGCAATATTTTTCATATACAGTATATAAAATAAAATTTATAATTTACTGACTATTATTTATTATTATTATTATTATTACTTATTTTTTGTTTTTATTTATTATTATTGCCACAAAAATAAATGCTACCGGATTTTTTTTTTTTGGATTAATATTATAAGTATTATTAGTTTAATTATTAATAATAATTTTTTTTTGATGCCATTAATTGAAAAAATTAAAACAAAATTTTCTAAACTATTGGATTACTTATTAAAAAATTAATGTACAATATTTTTTTAATTAGTTTTTTGTTGTTTGGGGGAAAAAATATGATTTAAGTGATATATTATTTGTAATATATATATATATAATATATATGAAAATATAAATTATACCAAACTTTAATATATGTTTAATAAAATATTTTTTTTTAAATTATCTAATACTTTAATATTATGCTAATATATTGAACACAAAAAAACCATTGATATATTATATACTAGTAATATATAATTTTTTTTATATAAACAATAATTGATTATAAACTACATTACAATCAGTGCTTTATGAAACACATAAATTAAAAAAAAAATAAAAATTATAATTATTTTTTTAAAATACAGTGAAAATACTGTATTAAATAAATTGCTTTTGAAATAAGTTTTCTAATTTGTATTCATTATTAGTATATATATATATACTGTATATAATTATATAATACAATACTGTATATATATAAAAGCTAATCCATTGAAATTATCGATAGTAATAGTAATAATATTATAATTAATTGTTAGGTTAATTAAAAAATAAAAAAAAAAATTTGAATTAAATATAATAGCATTTACACTACTAAATAGTGATGAGCACCTGTTGTTTATTTTTTTTATGTATGTATGTATGTCTCAGTTGTTTGGTTTGCCCTACAAATTGAAAGTAAAGTCACTTTTATATATATATATATATATATATACAGTATATATTATACAGTAATATATGTGTGATTTATATGTGAACTAATAAAATATAAAAAAAAACCTTAAATATTAAGTACACAAATACAAGTAAATAATTTACTTTTTTATATATATATATTTAAATGTTGTTTTTATCTTAAATCTAATCAAATAGTTTTTTTTCTATACTATATATATAATATAAGACCTAAAATTCAATATTTTAAATCCCATTTAAATCTAATTAAATAAATTATTTTTTTTTAAATTGCGACAAAACAAGGATTTATTTTAGAAACATATGTTTTTTAATAGTAATATTTATACACTATTTATATGTATTTAGTATATGTAATATAAAATTTAAGTTTATTATTATTATTAGTTTATAAAAAAAATTAAATCACATTAATTATAATATTAACAAACAAACAAAAAATTCAAGTTAATGAACAATTTTTTTTAATAATAATAATAATTTTTATAATTATAAATTGAAGATATTTTTAATTAGTAAATATTAAATAAGGTTAATATAAAAAAGAAAATTTTAACGTTAATTTTTGTGATTTTTTATAATTGTAAGTTAGTATATATATATATATATATATATATATATATATATATATATATATATATATATATATATATATATATATATATATATGTACATGTATGTACTTTATATTTTACTTAAAAATTATATATTTATATATTAAAATCTATAATTTAATTTTTCAAAATTTTATTATTATTATTATTATTAATTTTTAATAACAATTGCCAAGTTTATTGTAATAGTTATTATTATAATAATTTATAATGTTGTTTTTAAAATCATCATTAATTAGCTAGCATTTGCATCGCCAAATTAAATATATTAATAAATAATAAATTTTTATTTTTAAAAAATACAATAGAAATCTTTTTTTTGGATTATAAACATTACATGTAATACTAAAATACTATGTAATGTATGTTATAATGAAATAAATGAATCTTTTTTTTCTCTACTATCTAATAATAATATACAAAACTATATAATATGCGATAAATTATAATATAACTTATTTATATATAAAATATATTTAATGATAAATTAGAAAAAATGAAAATAAGTCACGATTTATGTTATTTTTTTTTGTTTAAAAGTACTACTCATCCTCAATAAGGAACCGCAAGTTTCCCATAACTGCTAAATACATGTGTGTGTGTGTGTGTGTGTGTGTGTGTGTGTGTGTGTGTGTGTGTGTGTGTGTGTGTGTGTGTGTGTGTGTGTGTGTATGTATGTTGATGTGTGTGTATGTAGGTGTGTGTGTGTATGTGTGTGTATGTATTTATGTGTGTGTATGTGTGTGTGTATGTATATGTGTGTATGTATGTGTGTGTATGTATGTGTATGTATGTGTGTTAGATTTAAACATCACAAATGAGATGATAATCAAGCTAAACATAATCTTTATTAATTTAATATATTAATATAAAAAAAATTATTAATATATACAGTATATATATATATATATATATATATATAATCCTCTAATGTTTTTATCATAAAAACTTTAGTGCATTACTGATTTGACAGATTAGGACCAACAACACCATTAAGTCAATTATTATTATTATTATTATTATTATTTTATATTTAATAAAAAGTCTATAATTTTGTGATGTGTGTCTATGATTATTGTGTTAATAGTAGTAGTAGTAGTAGTGGTAGTAGTAATGGTAGCAATAGTAGTAGCATTTAGTTTATTATCAAGATTAAAAATTTATTTTTATTTGATTTAATTTATTTTTTAAACATTAGATACTATATATAAAATTTATATTATATACTATGTTATATACACAGTAGCCTTTAATAATTAATAGCTATCATCCACTAAAGTACTATATATTAACAACTAAATTATTATTATATAAACTATATACTATATATATATATTATATATATACTGTGTGTATATATATATATATTATATATATACTGTGTATATATATATGTCAAATAAATTAAGTAAAAAAAAAACTTTAACATACAATATGTTCACTATATTAATGTTATTGTTATTATTATTATTATTGTAATTGTATTTCCCATTTTCCACTACCAGAAAAATGTTTCG